ATGGCAGGCCGGCTCGGTGGATGGGATGTAATTTGATGTATACTGTGGTCAGTGTTGTAAGATGCATTTTGACTGACTGGAATTATTGCCACATACACTTCTGCAAATGTTACAAAAAGTTGCATCATATGGAAATATTTTGCATCACGTTAAATTCACATCACATCCTAACACACCCATACTGTCATCATCATATGTGTGGAAAAGCTCTTCTGCTAGTTTACACACAGTTACTGTATGATGTGCATTACGTTATACCACACGAGTAACTGTTACAAAAAGATGTGTTTGGTCATACGACATTAGTCCAAATTAATACGTGTGGGGATATAAAGATATAAATCTCCAAAGAACTTAAACACAACACTCCAACACACTCTCACACAATTTGACTTTCACTGAAGCACACTCAAAATCTCTGCTGCTGAAATGATTAATCCAGTGACTTCTTCCACCCTTACTGTTCCTAGGACTGTATATTGGAGCCTGACCCTAACAGGTCAAATTAGTCAGGGTATGTACTAATTAATTAATTTATTGTAATGCTGATAGGATTGCTCAATTAATTGTTAAGTCAGTCAACAAAAATGTAATTGGCAAAAATGCTAACTTATTTAATTAAATAGATAATTTATTATGAAATGAAACCTCAAATGTGAGGATTTTCAGTTCACTTTTTTCAGTTTTAAATCACACACATTGGATACACATTGGATACCTTTGACTTTGGTCTTTTAGAAGATGTCCCCTTGGGCTATGGAAACTTGTGACGGGTATGTTTCACTATATTCTTACATTACATTGGCTAAACAACTGGTTAAAAGAAAAAAAAAATCAACATCTTAATTCATAATGAAAATCAGTTGGAGCTATAATTTATGATTTATTATCATAATCCTTGATTTACACAAGTTGCCTTGAAAAAACAAGCAGCGATCAAAACACTGTGTGTATTATTTTTTACATTTTAAAAAATAATTGGTGGCATTAATGTCAAAACGTCTTGTAACTCATTCTATTTGTGAGAAGCATGGGATTTAAAAGCATTATAAGTTAAAATATCCTGTGACCTAACATTATAGTGTAGCCTGTAGATGTGACCAAAGAGCAGAGATACCAGTTGTTTCAGTAGAGCTTTACAGATAAATAATGCAGGCCTGGTGGCTAAATATGATTATTTATTTATTTATTAGTCTACCGTAACTGAAACAGGCTTTCGCAGTGAGACTGACAATAAAAAAATTAATCTGTCTATCTGCTCTGCACAGATGTTTCATCTGGAAGCTTTGCCTCTATTTCTCGGCCAAATGCATCTGAACGCATCCTTGGACATTCCTGATGGGATTACCGGGCCAGGTACCATCCACTGGTCAGGAGAGAGAGAGAGAGAGAGAGAGAGAGAGAGAGAGAGAGAGAGAGAGAGAGAGAGAACGAGTCAGAGTGAGCGTGCAGCCTGCTTGTTTTCACGTCTCGCACTGCGTGCTTGAGCAGATTTGCCTTGATAAAAGATAAAGGCTCTTTGATAGGCTGCAGGTGCGCTGCTTTAATGAGCATTACCCCTCACCCCCCACCCCCCCGCACACTTTTCCTTCCCTGCAAAAAAAAAAAAAAAAAAAAAAACGCACCACCGACGCACATCTGTCATTCAGTGCTCTGCAGCATCTCCCCAACATCTCTCCTCCCCCCCTCCCTGCTCTCTCTGGCCTGTCACTCATCCGCAGACTCTCACACACTCCGCACATCACACACCGCGGCGTTCGGGGTGGAGGGGAGGCGGGGGGGGGGGCGTGCAACCGAAAGAGCACTCGCTATTCAATGAAATAGTTTCCCCTTGTATTGATACAGCTTTCCTGGCTGAATGAATCCGATTGAGCTGTCCAAAAAAACATCCAAACCCCACCCACCCGGGGCATTCCAGGAGGACTAAAACAAACGCTCGGAGAAAATACTGTAATTCAGACGCAATTTGGCCTGCTCGCAGCCTGTTGGAGGCACACTGGAGAAAGGGAGAAAGAGAGAAACGGGAGGGGGGAGACAGAGAGAGAGAGAGAGAGAGAGAGAGAGAGAGAGAGAGAGAGAGACAGGGAGGGATGTTAGGTGTTTGTTTGTGGGCACTTGCTTCCCCCTTATTCAGAGCCCGAGGTGCCAAGGGAATAGCTCGATGACGTGGGTTGTGGTCTGGGCAGGAAACATGGGGAGGAACTTGTGACTTTATATTAAGTGCCGGGGCGGTTAACAGGAAAAGATAACCTGTTTCTGTTGATATAGCAAGGAAGTGTGAATTCTTGGCACATGCGAGATGTCGCAGAGAGGAACAGGCCCGACGATGCCTTCCACGTCGATTGACTGGCTGACTGGAATTTCCTCGAGTTCACTGTGGTTTTGTTTGGGTGGCTGTGATGGAGTGTTGGAGTGTTGCAGGAATGCTTTCAGGGACATTCCTGCTGTTACAGAAAAGGTGTTTCTTGTGCAAGGGGAGATACTGTTGCATCATACTGGCAACACACTGTATAGACTCATTCTGTGACCTCTTGACTTGTTATCTGTGGTCATTTTTGTGGACCCTTTCGCATAAACAGTTTAGTTTAAGTGGACACTGTGCAAGACTTGTGCATCCTCTGACAAGCGAGTCAAATGGAGAAAAATATGAGAAATTGGGCCATACACAATGATGCTCGAACTTCTACAAAAAAAATTATATGTAATTCATAACGAAATGTGTGAGGCTTTTACAAATTACATAACATTTTTTAGTCACTGTTCGTAATTATTACATCATTGTGGTGGAAGTATACCTCCCATTGCCTGAAGAAATACGAAAATGTCCTTGTTGCACTAATAACAGGTTGTTGACACCACTCACATTACAGTACATGCACTCACTGTATAGATAAAAATAGTGCTTTGTTAAAATGCTGTAGGCTGCCTATAGCATGGGGTTGCCCTCTCTCTCTCTCTCTCTTTCACACACACACACACACACACATACACACTTTAGCATCAACATTTATGGCTGGAATTATTACATAATGCAATTTTCTGATGAGCTTATTGTCATATATTTAGTGTATACATTGTGAATAATTTCCATCATATACATTACACATAGGGTGCAATTCCACATCCACAATATGCCTCTGTGTAGTTATTATGTATATTTTAAAAAACCTTTAAAAAACTGAATTGCAAAAAAACAACAACCCATAATTGTCATAATTACATCGGCAATACAACATTTAAAGGGAAAGCTGCAAGTGAATTCTTATTATTAGAACAAATAATTTGCATAAATTAGGCTTCTTATTTAAACTATGTTACACTATTCTACATTTAAGTATTGCATATTGGCTGTTCCTCCTCTTCTCCTGCCATCCAATCAATCAGTCAACCAAACAGACACCCAGCCAGCCACTCAGTCAGTTAGTCAGACAGCGAGCCACCTAGTCAAGCAGTCAGTCAGACACCCAGTCAGTCAGTCAGTCTGCTGTTTGGCCAGGGTGGAGGCTCGTAGACTGGCTCTTTGTCTGAGCAGAGAAGCCCCAGACACAACAGTGGCCGGCCCTGGCCCCTCACAATGGCCCTCAACACAAAGGCCCACACACTGGGACAATGGGCCCGGCTCAGAGTGGGGGTGGACGGCGGAGCTGAGGTTACCCACCTGCACACTTCAGGACCGGACCCCACCCCATTCACCCCACCCTGCTCACACACCCCACCCCTCTCAAAAAAACCCACATACACATACACAGCTTGTACACCCATCCAGCTTTAAAGAGCTGCTGCAGGTGTCTTCCTGTGTCTGTGGCACAGGAGGAGGAAGCTGGGAGATGCCGTGCAGTGAAAGCATTCATTTGGGTTTCACAGCAGAAGATGTGCTATAATGGAGACCGAGACATGTGTAGTAAAGTTACTACAGGTCAAAGAGTGTCTAGCCAGGGATTAGGGTTCTGCTGGCATACATCACTCACATTGACTATATTTTAAGTAGTAATAAGTAAAATTAAATAAAAATTGAAACAATATTCAGTAGGTTCTATTAGAGCAAACATGCATTTGTTTTGAAGCAGTTATGTGAGGTTGGGTTTGTATTTGTGATTTTGTTTTCAGTTTATTTTATTTATAATGAGATCTCATCATTAAATATTAGAAAAAAATCAATAACCATATAAATGTAATTAGAATATGTGATAAATGGATATGATCAAATATTTGTATTTAAAATCATGAATTCTCTATTTTAGTTTAAATGAATGGTAAAAAAAAATACACTTCCTAAGCTGAATGCAGGGCACATTTTCCAAAAATAAATCAATAAAAATAAAAATGTCTTCAATAATTTAAAATAAAAGTAAAAACCTTATTAGTGGCAGGAACAATTTAAGATGACAATATAATTTAAAACACATCACACAAAATTCATAAGTAAAAACAGTCTTGTCTAGCTCTTCTCTCTCTAACACACACACACACACACACACACATTCACTTACAGAAATACAGATGCTACTGAGACCAGTAAAATAGTAAAAAGATAATTGAAGTTGCAGTATTTTACCGTGCAGTTGAGGGTCATATTCTGAGCTCAAAGCACTTTAATTTTTTATTTTTTTTCCCCATGAGAGCCATTTCCCATAAGTTATTGAATGTTACTGGCTGCAACAAGTGGTCTGCTTTCCCATCTCTCCTTTTCATTGGATGACCAAAGTGTCAATCATCAGCACCAACGCTGGTGGATTCATATTGGGAGTGTCACTGCATTTAGTACCACTCACACAGCTGCTGCAGTTGATCCGCACCTTTGAAAAGAGGGGACTTCAAATAGTGGAAAAATGTACCCTGTATTTTTTTTTGCAGTTATTTGCTTAGGATTACCTTGACAAATTAAGTTTTAATAGATAAAACCAAACAGTGTGTGAGTGTGTTTGTGTGTGTGTGTGTGTGTGTGTGTGTGTGTGTGTGATGGTGAATTTACACCAAGTGTGAAAAGCAACCACAAGTCAGAGATTTAATTTTCTCTTTTAATTGATTGCAACACATTTTATAACCACACATTACAAAATGCACATCAAATATTTTATCAGGCTCAGTTTGCAACCTTATAAGAAAAAAAAAAAAAAAAAAACTACCAAAAATATGCTTTTACAAAATAAGACAATTATAATAAAGTAAATGCCACTTTGGATAACTGTAATCAAAACCCCATTTTTTTATTCTACATTAAAAAAAGCTTGACATAAATAAGTTAGTATAATTTCTCAGTGTTTTTACAAAATTATGTACATAGGTACATTGCAAAGATTTACACAAATACACAGGCATGGTGACTGCATTTATGAGACAAGCTTTTTCTCTCTCCATCCAGGTGTACACTGGTCTCTTTGAATATAACCCACACTTACACACTTACCCACACACAAATAAAGGGAAGCTTTTAGATGCTCACATCTGCATCCTCAGCAGGCTAACAACATTGGTGAAAAAAAAAGAAGAAAAAAAAGCACAAACATACATGGAAATTTAAGTCAAGGTTATCACAAAGTAATACGATGTGAAGTCAATTAAGGAGCACAGGTGGTGCTGGCAACCATACTGAAGCAACCATGTATTTGGTATTGTAGGACATTCAACCCTTTTCAGAAAACATCCTCTCTGAAGAGCATTAAGGCTGATGAAACAAAAAGGAAGATAGTCAAAGAGAGGATGACTTTACAACACAACCTGTGCAGTTTTGTATGGTCTTCATTGTCCTTCAATATCTGAGTACCTCACAACTCCAGAGAAAAAAAATCAAACACACCAATACAATGTGGCTGAGGTGTTCAGGAGAACTTGAGAAAAAAAAAAAAAAAAAAAAAAAAAAAAAAAAATCATATTCCATGATTCAACTGATGCTAAAGGCACCTATCACAAAATAAATATTGGGTGATGTAAAGGAAGTCCTAACAGAAATATTACATTTTTTATTTCCTGCATTGATTTCCTGGGGAAACTTGATCTTGGAGAACCTGCACTTGGTGACACTGAAGTGACCAGAGGAAGGAAAAATAAAAGATGAGCTACATTTGTACCGTTCTTCACTGCTGAGTTAGGAAGATGACGGAGTGAAGATACACTGTTAAGAAACCGTGATTTTGTTTTAAATGTAGCAATTAGGGACTTTGTCAAAGTCACACTGCCTTTCGGAAAATAAAATAACAAAGAAACAGAACAGCATTTTGGAAACATGTATCAAACTACACTGCAATTCTTCAAGTCAAATCAAAATTCACACCTTTTTACATAAAAGGATTTGTGTTCAAATCATAACGCTTTTCTTATGTGCTACATATGGAGAGAAATATAATATAATATGTATATTTATTTACACACAGGTAGTAAAAAAGGAGCAAAAAAGGAAATCAAACCTAATTGCACACTGCTACATTAACTGCTTTTAGAGGCAGTAACTTTTTAATTGAGTGCCACAACTTTAGTGTTTCTATTCAGTGCTTCAACAGCGTCCTCCCCCGTCTTCAGGAGAGCTGATATGTTTCTGATGCTGTGTAGTTCCTCTTCAGAAAAAAAAAAGAAAAAAAAAAAAAAAAAAAAAAACCCCCAGAAATAATAAAAATCGGCCAACACTGAGGTTTCCCACGTAAAAAGGGGAAATACATCTTCGGCTCTGTGGGAAAAATCAGATGAAAGAAAAAAAGTTAATAAGAGTCTGCAGGTTTAAGACTAACTTATGACATGAGATTCATGCATCACTTGCAGAAAACTTTTGCAAATGAGTGAGAATGGACAAAACATTTTGTGCATGCAAAATCTGTAAGTCCTCTTGCACTCTGACTAAAGAGGAAGATTCATTTGAAAGCAACAAGACAGTATACAAAAAATATGGTGTGAAATGTGAATATACTACAATTTGACAGAGCTTTGTTGGCTCATTCAAATGACTCTGTACAAAATATTACAGCTGTAAAAATATCAAAAGGTGTGATTTTACACCAGCACTGTCTTGAATCATATATTTATAGGATTTCTTTTTAAGACGGTTGCTCCCATAAGGCAGAAACAACTAGCAGGGATGTAAACAAAAATCTGATATTTTTTCACAGAACCCTAAACCTGTTGTGTTTCTCCTTCATCAAATACATTGTTTTCTATATATTCCAGTGTACTAAAAATAAATTATGTTAGCCACCCTTGTATCCACAAATAATAAATATACTAACAAGGCAAGTTTAGGTGTTTCTGCCTCACTGCAACTTTTAACAGTTCACATCCTGCCAGGACAATGCACGTTTAATGTCTGTCCTCCAGGCCATGGGCAGCAAAGCACATTGGATTTCAGACCTGCACGACTCTTCTGCACATACTTCACCGGCAGAGACAGATGTGTGTTTTGCAACATCAGTGTGCAGCGCGCTCTCTCTCTCTCTCTCTCTCTCTCTCTCTCACACACACACTCTCACACACACACACACACACACACACACACACACACACACAGAGAGAGAGAGAGAGAGAGAGAGAGAGAGAGAGAGGGAGAGAGAGAGAGAGAGAGACCAGCCCCTTCCCGTCCCTGCTCTGCTCTGCGCTGAGGGCAGTGGCTGCTGACGTGTTACTACTACACTGTTGTTCAGCACACTTGTTGTTTACAGTTTAGTCGGAAACTCTGGCTGGCCGTGGCAGGCAGCGGTTGTAGTAAAAAAAAAAAAAAAAAAAAAAAAAAAAGGTGTAAATGTGCATCCACGTTGTCTTCAGTTTTGCGTCGATCACAGTGCATCGAAACAACCTTTAAAGTGCAAAACTACAACTGGAAGCGTTGGTGAAGTCTACCAGCTGCGACAGCCGCTATTACTACTGGATCAGCCTGACAACACCTTTGAAGTTCACACACTAAAGAGGATTTTGGCTGTCAGAGCTGCACGTTTGTTTGAAGTCAAAATCATTTTTACATCTGAACTGCAAAAGGGTGGGGGGTTGCATCGAGGATACCACCTGATAGTAGCAGAATAACATGATAAAAGATATATCTCTTTAATTTCTATTTTATTCAATTTACAGCTGTTCTGGGGGAGATCAACAGCTGGAAGAGGGGAGATATAGTCTGCATTTACTACCTTACTACACAACCAACACGCAGAAGCCCATATGGATATAGAAATAAAAAATACAAATAAATCCAAAAAAGTTCCTTACCGTGTTCTGGTCCTCACGTTTGCCTCTTGGGACTGGTCTTTCTGGGTGTGCGTTCTGCAGAGTGGCTCAGGCTTGGACAACTAACCTCATCTGAGCTGGTGTGTGACCTCTTATGTTGGGCCGAGGGCTCTGCAAAAGCAAAGTTTACCGTCAGTATCTACTACTTAATAAGAAAGGAAAAAAGAAATTGATAAAAAAATTATAATCAGATTTAGCGGTTTTATCAGCCTTTCATTTGTAAAATGTCATTTTGTTCCAATTTTTTTTTTTAGCCATAAAAAAAAAAAGGAAAAAAAAGAGACTATTTTCGGTGCACTTCAGCCTGATGGGCTACATACCCCCACTGTAATCGATATGCTGCAATAAGCCCCCGCCTGGCTACCTGTTACACTGAACATAGCGCTCATTTTGGTGCAAAAATATAAGTACCGTGACATGCAGGTCTTTTCCTCAGCCCGGGGCACTGCTCCGTGCACTCCATCTGCCCGTCAGACCTGTCGCTGTCTTCGCTCGGAGCCACCACAACACAGTTATGATTCCCATTAAGATCCACGCTAATCCCAGCAGAGCAGACACCCTTCTCCCTCCGCGTCTGCCCGTTGTAGAAATTCGGCACGTCTCTGCAATCCACTAATTCCCACTCGAGTCTGCCGTTGGCCAGCGGCGTGTGATTGGCGAAGTCGAAGCCCCACTTGGCGGTGGCAGCCTCTTCCATCTCCCGCAAATGTCCCTTTAAATCCCTCTTTAACTCTTCGTGGTCCACCGAGCCGAAGAGGCTTCTGCAGGCTGACGGTTTCGGGTGATCTGAGACCCGGGAGTCCGTCCGCTCCAACGTCGGGCTCCCGTTTGATAGTCGAACATCTGACATTTTCCCCTAAAGAAAAGACAAAATGTGTCAAACGGCCGGGAGCGTCCAGTTTTTCACAAGAAAAACACGCCGCTGAAAAACAACGGATATCTCCTTGTTGCTTAGCAAGATCCAAAACAAGCGTAAAACGACTTATGCCATGCATACGTCGAGCTGGAGACGGTAACGGCCGCGGTGTCGTGAAGCCCAAAGCTGTCTCCGCGGATCATCAAAACAAAGTGCACAGGAACTGAAGCCGCTCTGTCAATTTCGTCCGTAGTGGGAGAAACAGCAAACAAACCTTCTCAGCACCCAATATGGCGATTGAAAGATGTACTTGAGAGAGGAGCTTGACTGGGGGGGGAGGAAAAAAATGATTGACACAAGGAGCTATTTAAATGCGAAGGCCGCTCATTGGTCAGAACGCTTAAGCCCGCCCCCGTCTCTTAAGGTGGACCAGTTAGTTGCAGCATCCAAGCACGTCCGTGTTTTTAACACCAAAATCCAAGCTTTTCTTCAAACTAGACTGCTTTTGGCAGCGAGAACATTGAAAATGAAAATTGAAACTGTTAGACTGTCCTCCAAAAAAGTAACAGACACAAGAGTAATTTGATTATTTTGGGACAAAGCCTTTCTTTAAAAAAACAAAAACCCCCAAAACATGTTGCATTTTATTTTTTGTAAGAGAAAACGGCCATTAGTAAAGCAATGCAGCTCCCAGCTAATACTATATTTTGCATCCTTCATCCCTTTCCCACTTTTCCAGCTATTCATACTCATTTTAGCTTTTATCTTCTCATTCATACATTAAGACAGAAACTCCATTCAAACCATTTAATGTTCCAAAACGTTCATACATTCCGTTTTATTAAACTATTCAATCCCAATCATGCTAATTTGACCCTTTCCCACTTTTCCAACTTTTCATACTCCTTCAGCTGCTTCTCCAGACCCTGTCCCCATCTCCACAGGCCCCCAGGAAAAAAGGAGAAGAACAGATGTACTAGGATTAAAAAGCAACGCACATCTCCACATTCAGTAGTCTGTAAATGCACAAAAATAAATAAATAAAAATAAATAAATCCTAAAAGAAAAAACAAAGAATGACAGAGAAAGGTCCTGTGTGCTGGAAGTTAGAAATGGTTATTTACACCACAGTGAAAACTTTTTACTAAAAAGGTAAAATATAACACCAAGCTTCAAAAAAATATTGGACCAATGGAAATATAAAATATATGGAATCTAAAAATAAGCTAAAAGCAAGATTAGTTTATTTTGTTATTTATTTAAAATCTAATTCTTTCCTTTCTGGTACAGTTTACACCTTCCACTACATAGACAGAAAAAATAGCCACATTAAGACAGATGTTGGCCTTATGTTCACATCAAACTGAAAGACACATGGTTTGCTTAAAATAGAACCATAACCTGTTTGCCAGAAATGTTGCAATTTAATTTTAATGTGAGCAATTATTTACCTATGGGGTCACAGCAGGGAATGTGGTGCAGCTGTGTGAGTGCCTGTAGCGCCACCATTATGACTGAGACCATGCTGCCCCCTAGTGTTCACTTTACAAGACCTCTGTAGCAGTACAAAGTCAGCAGCCAACAATCTTTGTATCAAATGCTTTTTAATACCATAGCTTTAGATTAAACATCACATATGTACATATTTATATGACAACCACAGGAAATAACAGTAAGAGTTCAGGCTATGCCAAAAGCGCAGTGTGTTCCAAAATATCAGTCCATCCACGTCTCCTCACTGACACTGCAGAGGTGTTAGTCACCTACCTTCCCAATCAGTCCGTCATAAGTCAAAACTGCTTCCACGTGAGAGCAGATATCCTCAGAGACTGAGCCACTTGATGATGTAGAAGTTCCTCCTTCCTACTCTGAGCAAGGTAAGTCCGTTTGATAGGATATGCAGTTGGGGGATCAGTACTTGCTCTGGTTTTTCTGTCTTCTTGTGGTTGATCCACACTGCTCCTTCCAAAACCATTCGATACCTGCACACAAACATTTCAACAGTCAGTTAGTACAGGGTTTTCCTACTCTAACCTGTCTGAAATAGTCAGGATATGCAAAGGACATGCAAACGTATTAAAATTGTCCTCCATGTTTGTATGGATGTATTCTGAACTTGTTTTCTCAAACCTACAATGTGAATAAAGTATGAATGGAAATGATGGAAATTCCAACCAATATCAAAACTGCAGTGCATCACACATCAGACAGATTATTTTGGGTACTGTGCCCACTGTAAAAAATAAATGGCTTACAAATTATTCAATGATTTGCTGAAGTTGTTAGCAATTCATTTTCTCTTTATCGACTAATTGTACATTGGAATACTGTCCCATGTAATGCACACTTAAATGTCACTTAATATTAATGCATGAATGTCAATAATTCTGGCAAATCGAAGAATCATTTGAGCCATTTATCAAGAAAAAAAGTACCAAAAAAAAATGTATTCATCCTTGGTATTCAACGTGGGAACTTGCTTTAGCACATGAAAATACTGGGAAGGGGCATCCTCTCTCACCCTCAAATCTGTTATTTTAGCATAGTGGATGACTCTACATACTACAATACCCATAAGCCACAGCCGCCATTTCCATGGAGAACAACCCAGTCAGAGGCACTAATCAGAGTGGTAGCAAATTCAAAACCTTTGCAGTTGTTAAACGTCCAGTGTGTAGAATTTAGTAGCATCTAGCCCTGTAGTTGCAGATTGCAACTCACTCGTTTTACCCTCCCTTTCCAACCATAAGGGAGAAACTGTGGTGGCTGCAAAATGCAGAAAAACACGAATGGCCCTATCTACAGCCAGTGTTTGGCTTGTCCCTTCTGAGCTACTGTAGAAACATGGTGTTTCAACATAGCAGCCTTAACAGAAGTGGCCTGCGGTGTCTGTAGATAAAAACGGCTCATTCTATGCTAACGAAAACATGACAATTAGGGGTGTAAGAAAATAGAGAAAAATATTCTATTGTGATATTGTATCGATTGTCAAAAACACTTCATTTTTACGTTAAAACCCCAACTGCTAGATAGCAGGGTTAGAAATGTAAACTGAGGGTTATGATGTTGGATGTGACAGAATTTAAAACTAGGCGACTGGATGTTTCTTGACAAAATGCTCCTTGGGAGTCGTAGTTAACTTCCTCCCTCAAACTTGTTTTACACACAAGCTTTAACCTTTTAATCAAAAAAGGTGTTTTTTTTCCTCATGCAGTTGTGAATCCTTTGGCCTGATAATTTATCCGGGAGAGGTCCGTGCTGATACAAGCTGTAGAAAAAGCTCCAACAGTGAATCATGTAACATTGTCTATGGCAAAATGCCAGAGGTGCTGGAAATAGCTCCTTCTCCTTTGTAACTCTTAAGGAAAGCAGGATGGGAGTACCTACCCTTTGGCTCCCTCTGGGATGGCGTTGATCATGCGGCAGGTGTCTATCACAGTAGTTCCTGGCTCCAACAGCAGCTCATGGAACGGAGCCTCCTTGAAGAGCTCCTGAAGCTCCTCATCACTCATTTCCTCCAAGGCCTGTACACTGCTGTGGTACAGTGCATTGGTACATCTGCAACGATGATGCATGAAATATGACTTATCTTCTCTGGATAGGTAAACTGGCCCCTCTACAAGGAGGTTAGAGGTCACGAGCAGCTACATAACAGTGACCCTAGTGGAGTTAAGGATGTTGTGTCTTCCTATGTCGCACACGTATTATTGTTAAACTTAATAAATTCCTGCTGCATTTAATAGGTTGACCTAAATACAGTGTATAAAACTGTAAGAAATGATCAACATCATAATTATATTGAATAAAAGAGCATTAAATACTAAAGTCCAAACACACACACACACACACACACACACACACACACACACACACACACACACACACACACACCAGGGCTCAAATTTTTAAGAGTGCGACTAATAATTTTTCTAGGTCGCACTGGTGCACCTGACGCTGCCCGGGTGAAAACATACAATTATTTCGCAAGTGCATCATGTCTCTGTGTTCTCCTGTGAGCGAACTCACACACTCATGGTAGGATCATATCGGGTTCTTAACCAATAAGAGACAGAGCTCGGGCGGGTCTTTGCCTCTGATTGGCTGTGGTCCTGTTCACTGCGCTAAGTTGTGTGTGTTTAAAAATTGCCGAGCCCCGGTCCTTCGGCTACAGCATCAGACTCGGAACCAGAGGAGGAGACAACCGAGTCTGGAATAGAGCCCGGCTCCGAGACCCAAATTAAAAAGTTCAAAATATATTCCTTCAGACAGGACTGGCTGAAACAATTTCCCTGGCTGAGGTACAACAAAGGACGTAACGCAATGAACTGCGTGTACTGTCAGGAGTGCGGTCAGAATATGGCCGGAAATAGTGCATTGTGAGCGGGTCAACAACGTTTCATATCGCACTTTTATTTGGAAATGTTTTATTTTGCTTAGTGTTTTAGTTTGAAATTTAGTTTCAATTTCAGCTCAGTGAAGCACTTTAAACACTTTATTTTTCTTTTTATATAGAATTGTGCTTCAAATAAAGACAAACATTTCTCTACACCTTATTGTTGTTTAAAAATCATTCACATTATATGAAAGTTATGGAGAGCGATAAAGGCGACGCAATGAAAAATTTGGGTGCACCTACATTTTGTGCTGGTGCACCTAAAAAAAAAAAAAAAGTTAGGCGCACTAGTGCAACCAATGCACACACACACGCACACACACACACACACACACACACACACACACACACACACACACACACACACACACACACACACACAGCTGTTCTGACCTCTTTGCACTCTCCAGACCCTCCTTTCCATGCACCAGTTTGGTCACTTCTGCAGCCAGTCGTTTGTGTGCGAGGCGTTTACCTGGATCCTCTCTCTGCTGCACCATCAGCCTCTCCACCTCTGCCAGAGGCAGGAAGGTGAACAGTTTCAGGTACCTGCAAAAAGACCACACCATATATCTCAGCCTCCTATTACACTACACAGAACGCATACATTTACATGATGTCAGATTATACCTCAAACAGACGGATTATGTGATTTATGAGAGGTTTTCAGATCTTGCGCTGTTATATTTTTAATCAAATGCAGGCTTCATCTTCACCTACTTTTCCACACTGGCATCAGGCTGCCTGAGAAAGTACTGGTAGAGTTCAAAGGGAGACGTCTTGTCTCTACTGAGCCACACTGCGTTGCCCGCCGTCTTCCCCAGCTTGTCCCCGACAGTGCTGGTCACCAGAGGGATGGTCAGGCCGTACGCCTCCTCACCGCTCACTCTACACAGGAATCAGGATTTATTAAACAATGTTGCCAATGTTGAAATACCTACACCATGTCTGGTGTAGGTATTTCAAAACCTGTGAGTTGAACAGTACACATTGGCCTTTTTGCATGCTTATCATAAGGCGTGGCGGTAACTCAGTTTCCAGTGGAATCAAATGGGGATGTGATCACACTGTTATTTTTTGTGTATATGTTGTTGATCAAATTCAGGATTTCAAGCAAATTGTAATGTGAAGTACACTGCAATTAACAACTAACAAAATGAGGAACCAGAGTTGTTTAAAATGTGTGGAGTTTGGTGCCTCCAGGTTGAATCTTGCAGCATTATTTGTAGTCTAGGTGACAGCAGACTGCCTTCATTAATCTATAACATATAATTCAAGAGCTCTTCTGAAGATTTAGGTGATATTTTTATCACTAAGGCCAAACACACGCGTCACCTTGGTGGCTAAAAACACAAAGCAGGTCTCAATCTCAAGTGTGTCAACGTTTGAAATGGTTTTAAATGTGTTTAACTAAAATAAATAGCTGCTAGGTATGTATGCAGAATTCAAGAGTGGCTCCTGAAAGGTCACTCAATACCTTCAGTCACGTTTCTGGTGTGTATACAGTTTCTAAATGCTAAGTTATATGTTCAATAATCAGAATTTTGAACGAGGTTTGGAACAATGCGCTCTCTCTCTCTCTCTCTCTCTCTCTCTCTCTCTCGCAATACAAAACAGATATTGCCGCAACAATAACCCGTTTTTAAATAGGATGGACATTTACTTGTGAATGAACTCATGGCCAGACATCAAATTGCCCAGCTGGTCGGTGCCCCCGAGCTGAATCTTGCAGCCGTATATTTGGTGCAGGTGGTAGAAGTCATAAGCTTGAAACACCTGGTAGGTGAACTCTTTCAGGCTCATACCGTCTGCGCTCTTCAGCCTGGACTGCACGCTGTGGCGGCTGAGCATGGTGCCCATCCTGAAGTGCCTCCCGGCCTCCGACAGAAACCCCACCACGTTCCAGTCCTTGTACCAGCTCAGGTTGTTGAGCACAGTCACGGTGCCCAGCTTCCTGGAGCTGTCGTGAAAGAGCAGCTCGTGGTTGGTGAAAATCCTCTGAATGCACTCGCGGACGCTGCGGGTGTTCGCCTCCGCGACGTCAGCGGACATCCGCTCCCTCTCGCTCGTTTTCCCGCTCGGGTCTCCAATCTGCGCCGTGGCCCCTCCGATCACAGCGAGCACGTGGTGCCCGGCGTTTCGGAAGTGCAGCAGGCCCACGAGAGCGAGCAAGTTGCCCACGTGCAGGCTGTCGGCCGTGGGGTCAAAGCCGCAGTACACAGTCTGAGCACCGGACTGGAGCAACCGAGGGAGCTGTTCCTGCGCTGCATCTTCTGGGAAAGAGTCCTTCAATATACCGCGTGTATTTAGAGAAAAGAGCAGTCCGCTGTGTGCAGCTGAAGAACAGTGAATATTTGACCGAGGTGTAAGGCAAAGACTCGTTCGCCTTGGCAGAATACAGAGTCCATGCCGCGATACATAACGACAGGTCCTCGCCATGGACGCAGCCATGTTGGACAATGTGACAAGAACACGGAGGAGGAGGAGTAGTTGAGAATCATGGGTAGTTTGTTTGGAGTAGAGCGCCCTCTAGTGTACTGGGTTGTAACAGAACAGCCCCTCAAGGCTCTTCAGCCCTTCAGTGTTTTGGTTGCAGCAGTTCCCAAGCACATTGTCAGTGTCAGTGTCATGCAGATGGACGGATTCGTCCACTTGGGGGCGCAAATGAGCCACGACCCCCTCCACCACCATTTCTCTGTGCATTGTGTATACTGTCACCTCTAAGTAAACAAATCATTTAAACCTGCATAGGAATCTGCACCCTATGAGTACAATATTACTTTAAATAAAGGTGGGCAATTAAAACCACAAGACAGGGTTTTAAGATTTGGTAATAATGCAGGACAAAGTCATTTTGAACTCAGCTGGTGTTGTAATTCTGTAGTCCATACCCATGTAGTGTATATTGTGTATTTAAAAATTTCCCCAAACCATGCAGACATTGAACCTGGAACTTGCAGGACCTCTTAGAGTTTGTGGCCCTGGAGGAATCGCCTGCTTTTCCTGGGTGGTAATCTAAAGCACAATATGTGACAGAACAAGGGCCTTAATGCCTCAATTCAGCTAAAATACCTTTTCTTAAGGCACTGTGTTTTGGGGGTTCCCTGTGTGAAAATCTATTTTTAAGGCCGGCATTATTTCAGTTTCATTCTGCTGAATTAATGTGTTTTACTGTGTAGTCTTTTTTGATACCACACAGCAAATCTGGAGCTACGTAGTATTCGAAATGTAAAAAAACTGTCACACACTAGCCTACAAAGCTTGTAAGAGAACCTGTGGTGGTAAAACTTGTAAAATACATGAAAGGCCTTATGTAGAGCCAGCGTTTGGTTTGTCCTTCCTGGGCTGCTGTAGAAACATGGCAGTTCAACATGGTGGCCTCCATAGAAGATGACCTCCTGTAGATTCTCATTCAAAGGTAACGGAAATATATTACTTAATTTCAGGTGATCACATACTAGTGAAAAACATACCTTTTATTCAATTTCTACCAATAGATCCTCCTAAATGTTACACACAGGACCTTTTTAAATAAAAAAAGGAAAATGTGGTGGATTTTAAAAATCACTTTATTTTGAAATCCATTCAATGTCAACTTGTTCCATTATTTAAATGACTAGATATACATTCATCAAACATTTACAGTATTGTTACCACGCCACAGTACACATTAACAACACATGCAAAGACAGTCTCTGTTATCTCTTCGCACGACACTAAAGCCACAAAAACAAACTATGTTTGTCAAATCCAGGAAGAAAAAAAAAGAAATCAAATATCTAATTCACTGGTAACATTTTTCTGTCAGTTTTGGAAAATAAAAATAAATGTCATATTAATTAATAATGTTGGTGGTGTTTGTGTGCTGTAAGGCAGAGCACTATAAACTAATTCCAAAGAGAAAAAGCAAGACAGAGATAAAGAGGCAGGAACAGTATCTTTCAGTGTCCTGAGCTAGTTCAACAAAGGAAGACTAGGTTTCCCTGATACAAGTTAAAAAGTCCCTTGTCAATTCAACACAAAACAGACATTCCTAAGAGTAAGCAGACATCACAAATTTACATGACTTCTCCTCTGGGGCCTGGCACTAGTGTTTCAACCATTCTGTGTTTTGAAAAACCTGTCCATCTTAAGCAAATCATTCATTGTTACTGTTCTGTATGGTAAAATAAAGCTCCAACAGTACTTTTGAGCCTCTGTCTTGCTGTACATAGGATAGTTTCCTTAATCTGCTGTGACATAATTCCCGTCTGCGCTGCCCTACTGTGTCACAATCAGCAAACTCTAGCTGACAACACCAACAGTTTACAATAGTAAAAGTGTGTGTGTGCACAAGTCAAGTTTCTTTTTCTGAATCTCTAGTGTTTTATGGCATGGGCACACACCAAGGCACAGATTGTTTGTGGTTCATCCCTGGGATATCCAAGTCCCAGGGACCTGTGAGTGGAAAAAACTGAGCTGCGTTGAATGAGTTATGCACGTGGGACTGACATTATGTGAGAAGATATAATATATAAGTAGCGGCAGCTTGAAGGTCAGTAATCTATTTATGGCATAAGAAATGTTTGGTGAGTTAGTACAATATAGCAGCGAGTGAGGAGAGAAAAGTCAAACAAAAAAATGACAAAAACAGGATCATAAAACAGTATATACTGCATTTTCATTACTGCATCTTATTTACTGTAATAACATGTAATGTTGGCAAATGGGCCTGAATGGCAAATTATGAGGGCATTCAGTTTCTCTATTTGATCAAGAGAGAGATGTGATGTGTAAAAAATAAAATTAAAAATACAGGTTGGTTTGTTCAATAAGAGGAGGCAACTACGGATGATTTCTGATAATGATGAAATTCTGTGCATATATGTTTTTGAACATGCAACCTGAGAACAGAGTATAAAAAGAGGAGACCAGTATTGTATGATCAGTGCTGAGCTGTCGCTTGACCTTTCAAATGTTAAATGTAGTTTTCATTGCATTCAAAAGGTCACAAAGGCCAAGTTTTAAACTTCTCAACATTGTGAGCTAGTACAGCCCGCAAGTGCTTTCAGTTTAAATCATAAGAGCTTAATTTAACATGTAAATGAAATACAGTTAAAATGAACAGAATGCCTATTGCAGCACTGATGGTTCTCCATCTAGCAATTAACAAAAGGAATGTCCCCAACGGGATTCAGATCTATGGATATTCACCAATTGCCCTGTTACCCTTAAATCTATTTACACTGCACTCTTCAGTCGTCCTATTTCAAATAAACAATTATCCGATTTAGTTATACATATATACTTTAGTATAAAAATATGATCCAATTCAATTAAAACACAAGTTTGTGGCATCTAAGCATAAGAACATACAGTACATAACTACACTTAGTGTAAAATTTCAAACATTTTAAAGTATTTACCAAACGGAGGAATACAAAAGTTGATCATCATTAGTACCTTGTATACCTCATGAGTTAAAAGCTGGAGCGGGCAAGTCAATGTGATCATTTCAGCTATGTACAGTACACTCCGTTTATACAATGTGATGTAATTATAAACACAAGGTCCATTTCTTGCGACTGAATTTCAATAAATTCGTGATGATTTTAAGAGATTTTGGTTGGATAAGCAGATTGGGGTCGGGGAGCATTCTCTCACAGATTTACATACACCTTTTCAAAACCATGAGCTGTGAATTCTTTCACCATTTCCTCATCAACATTCCCTCACTCTAGGTCTTTAGTATGTTCATTTTCTACAAAATGTATGACGACTAAATACAGGAGTGGCCTCTTCATGTGCACAATTATCATCATAAACAGAGGACAAAAACAGCTAAAGGATACCATGTGGAAAAGTATTTGGTCTTCATCCATATCCAGACACTTGTCAAATTGTCAAAGAAGTCTACAAACTCATCTTTTAGCTGTTTAAGACGTCGGATTGGCTTTATCTTGCAGATGGCCACATGCTTGTGTTTGCTTTCCTCTGTTGATTTGGACATTTTGCCAAAAATGATCATGCAATTTTAGAGAAATTACAACAGCAAAACAGACTCCTTTTCACCCAAAATGGCAAGTTTCTAAATATGTAAAACATATTGGTTTAATCTAAGAGGTCATATCATTATTAAATGTGCACATATGACCCCTGAATCTTAGTCAAATGTTATAAGAACCACACAGCCAGTAAAATACAAGAGAAGGACCTAACCCAGACACAACATACTTAACTGAGAAAGAAAAATACAAATCTGATGTAATTTTGAGGAATAGGGCTTGACTGAGTGAGAAATTATGAAACAGATGAATTAATTTCCAACAAATCCCCTTTGCAGTCTGCCTGTATTAAGGTTGTAATGCGGTTTATCTTGTTTAGCCCTTGAATACCAGAACACAAAACAAGATGGCGTGCCCAACGTCTGTGCATGTTATTTGTGAAAAAGGCAATTAACAGAGGGTCGGTATAAAATAGTGTCCTATTAACATAACACAGGTGTGTTTGTGCTCCAGATGTGCATTGTGCACAGTGATTCTGTGCCTGTGATCCTTTCAGTCTCGAAAAACCTTTCTTACAAACGTTAAGGTTTTGCTACCGTATTCTGAACTGTAACAAAAGGTGTCCACAAAGTGCCTGTATAGTTTGTGGACAAGTTGAGTAATAAGTGATAATAATCCACACCACGTCTTGTTGCTGTCTTGTTAGGTAGAGAAAAGGATAATGAAAGACACTGATCATTTCCAGTATCATTACAAACAAAGTATGGCTATGCTGGCACCACAGATCTGCCTCTGGGTATAAAAAGGTGAAGAAACATGCTGGAGGGCTGGTGCATGGACAGCCATCACCTTTACTGACAGCCAATTTGGCAGAAGCTGTCCTGCTTGAAAAACGGTATCATTATTGTCTTAATGTTGCTGCTGCCACTGAAGTCATTTGGGTGTTGTTAGCTGTGAGGGTATATGGCTCTTTGACATCAGTATAAAAATCTATTTTTCAAACATACTGCTGGAGTGGCAACTATCAAGTTAAGTTTTTCCTCATTTTAGGGCTTGTTAAGGGTCAGGATAGGGATAACGACGGAAGTCACTTCAATGACTTCAAATTAGCATTTAGTATTTTTTATCCAAGAGTTTGGTCAGAGATTGCATACACTGGTATTTAGTATAGATTGGGGCTCAATCAACTGTACATCACATCTTTGCATACATGACTTTTCTGCCTATGAAGGTCCACACAATGGAGTGGAGAGCATTGTGCAAGATCAAGAGAATCATCAGCCTCTTGACAGGACCTAAACAGGACCTCTTGTGCTGACCAGAAGCCAAAGCTAACTCTTGCTGCATTGGGGGGGTGTAAGTGGTTCAACCTAGCTTATGGAGGACTCGCTTCTGTCCCTGAAAATAAGGAGATTTTTAGAGTGCTTCTCCTTGTTATTCCTCCACAGCCCTCAGTACATGTCTCTGTAGATCTCCTGCAGGAGTGGGTGAAGTGAGGTGTCCTCTGTCTTTTTGATCTCCTGCACGAGCTGTGCATGCTCAGTGACTAGCTGCCGAAGGTCAGCCAGCTTCTGCAGCAGCTTGGGGAAGAGGAAAGTGTCGTCGGGGTGATTGGCCAGTAGATGGAGCTGTAGCACCTGCACAATGCTCTCCTGCATTCGCTCGATGTGCGCCACATTCACCAGGCCTGGTCGGTCTAATCACAGGAGGAGCAAAATAAACTTGAATTAAACTCCTTGACCATAATCTCCTGTTGGAATAAAATTATTCAATAAGAAGGTACTACCAGAGTGCCTTTACAATTTCTGCTATTTGTAAAAATATGGAAATATACTTTGAGATAGTGTACAAGTTCTCAAAGGGCAAAAAGAGAAGAATATATAATATTCCATACAGAAAATTAATAGTTTAATTATAAACAATGTTATTTTTCCTGCGTCCTCACCTCCACAGCAGATGATGGCGGCCACAAACAGAGCCAGGTCACTGTCATCCAGCTCCAGCCCGTTAAACTTCATTGCAAACTGAAACTTCGGCTCCATCATGTCACTGAACGGCCGCCGCAGGCTCTTGAGGAATTCCCGCGTGATGAAGCCTGAGCCATACGCTACAAGAAGCCCGTCCTTGTTCATGCTGGAGGCGAGCATGGCAAATAGGGCCTCGTACACGCCATATTTCAAAAGAGTCACCTGATCGTTGAGGTCCAGGCTCGAGAACCCAGGGACGGACTTTGCAAACTCTGTGAGCTCGGTGACGGTTTCTACCGATGTGCACTGGCAGCAGTGGAAAATCCGAACTTCTGCCTCCCTGTCCTTCAGTGTTCCTGCTGAGCCAACCATCTTTGCCACCAGGGTCTGCTCTGCCAGCTGGAGGGTCTCCATGTCATGGATGACGAAAGGCTGTTGACAATGGACAATGACACACTCTTTAGAAGTGTAAAATATGATGATAAAAATGTGTGTCCAGTACAGTGCGTACTGTGATTTTGCCCTACATAAATAAACCTCATCTGACTACATGCATATGGAAAGAGCTGAATCATCAAACCTCACTATGTGAATAACTGTAGTGACTGTGGTGTTTACCCATAATCTTTACTGAAAGGAGAGGCTAAGCCCAGAGCCCGTATTGACACTTGAATATTTCCACAATGACACAATTTCACTCCTTGACCCTCTACATACTTAGAATGAAATAATTATGGATGTCATTCTTAACTCTCAACAGAGGTGTGAGGTGCAAATCATTTCTCAAGAAATACAAGCATAGTTAATGTTGAAAGTAAAGCCATGTCAGAGCAAGTGAGAGCTCACCAGGGCAAACTCAAAATGTCAAAATTAAGAAGGGAATTCATTTGAAACTATTGACTATTTGACCAAATACTCTTTCATAATAAAAAGACACATGCACAATCCTAATAATGTGGTTGGAGGTACACAGGTAAGTAAAGGTACAGTAAGCAGCAGCTCATGCTAGCAGTGACATATTCTAATAGATGTTTCTAGCTGTGTCACTGTTCCCACAGTGGACAAGTCACAACATCTAAAGAGCAGCTGCACCTGCTCCAGATATCAGAGCTCTGACTCATGAATGCTCTGCTAAATGTGTGCTAGCACGGGACCTTCCGTTGGTCATGACATATGTTTAATTTTGTGGGACTTTTGTCAACACAACAGATCAGATCATAAGCAAGCCTGAACAGACAATTCCCAATAAACAGTAAATTGATATAGCAAACACTGAATTTATTATATAATTTATGTCAAATTTTACAGTGCTCTATACTAAACAAACAAACCTTGTTTTTGTTTTCTTTTGTTTTTTTTCTCCTATATTTTGGGGGGCTTTTATTACCTTTAATGGATAGATGATAGATGGATAGAGTGACAGCAAAGGAGGGGGAGAGGGAGAGGGGATGAAACACAGCAAAGGGCCAAAGGTTGGAGTCGAACCCATGGCCGTGGTACCAAGGACTCAGGATTCTTAAGATTTCCACAATGACAGAATTACTCTCATTTACCCTGGAGCTACACCCTTATGGATGCTTTAAGAGGTTTGTAGGCCATTGTTTATTAATACAGTTTATACTGAAAGCAGAGCCAGGGGGGCTAAACTTTACCTTTAGACCCAGAATGCTTGACAAAATTGACAAAAACTTAGGAAAAGAGATCATATTATCCTACTTATTTGCACTGGCTCCCTGTAAAATTCTGAATAGAATTTAAAATCTCCCTCCGCACCTACAAAGCCCGTCATGGTCAGGTACCCTGCGCTCCCAGAATACATGGTTACTCGCAGTTCCTTTAGTCTCCAAAAGTAGAATGTGAGCCAGAGCCTTCAGCTACCAAGCTCCTCTCCTGGAGAACCAGCAGGGTAGAACCCTCTCCACATTTAAGAGCAGGCTTAAGACACTCCTCTTTGATCAAGCTTATAGTTAGGGCTGGCTCAGGTGAGTCCTGAACCATCCCTTGGTTATGCTGCTATGGGCCAAGACTGCAGGGGGACTTCCCATGATGCACTGAGCTCCTCTCTCCTCCTCTTCCTGTCTATCTGTACACGAATGTAGCTTCTTCCCCAGAGTTTATGTACTTTTATTATTATCATTATTATTATTAGTCTTCTATTTATTTGTTTTTTTTTTTTTTTTTCTCTCTCTCTCTCTCTCTCTCTCTCCCCCCCCCCCTCTCTCTCTCCCCCCCCCCCCCCCCCCCCCCCCCTCCCCCCCCCTTTTTTTGCTAAATGCTCCCAGAATCTAACATGGTTACTGACGCAAACATGATGATCTTTAGAAACATAATAATGAACACAATATAGATAATGTTTACCATGTTTACCCTATTTGTGTAGCATGTTAGCACGCTAGCATTGGTTAAGTACAGTGACTGCTGGTGACTGTCTTTAGTTTTGTAGGTATTTGGTCATAAACAAAAGTATTAGTATCTAAAATTGTGATCTAATGATGGCGCAAGATGAAAAGTCAGGAGATCAGCAAAGTTCATCCACTGGGGACCATGCATTTCTTTACAACATACAATGGCAATCCATCTAATAGTTGTTGAGATATTTCAGTTTGGACCAAAGTGGTGGGCCAGCCAAATGACAGACAGATCAACATTGCAATCGTTGCCAGAGCAAGAGCAGCATTCCTTTAGCTGCTTGTTTTGTAGGGACTTGACATCCAGTCAAGACTGTACTGTTAAGAAAAATAATAGCACAGCAAAACCAGTTAAGTCAGTAATAAAACTGACATTTGGTGTACACAAATCAGAGCCAACAGTGGAACAATTATGGCTCAGTATTTTGACGTTGAGACTTATGAGTCACACATGAAATGAATTTTCTGTGTCAGTTACATGTATTAAAGAAGCCATATTATGCTTTTTTGAGTTTTCCCTGTGCTTTTTGTGCATGTAAAAGGTCTGCAGGAACCAATACAAAAGTCATTAGCTACTGCCACCATCTGAGAAAGTAAACTAACTTTATTTTAAACTTTATTTTGTTTTACTGTTTATTTTATAGGTAAACCTGTGGGTAGCAAGCTGGGAGACGTTGGACAAATTATGTAATATTGAGTGACAGTAAAGAGAAACTATGTGTATTATGTCTCGTTTGAACCTAAATATATAACAAGAGTGGTAGGTTGGATGCTGGTAACAGTTTTTTTTATGTTGCTTTTTGTATAACTTTATACTGCAGCACTAGTATTAGCTCAGCTATCCACACTGCTAATGTTATGTGTGTATGTTGCTGCTGTATTTACATCCACTTGATAGAAATGCGAGGTGAGAAGAAAGCTGAAACACGGTGGACAGTGCCTGCTTAGGCTTGTGGGAGCTGATCATTTGGAGCAGACAGGGCTACTTTCCTTAAGGCCTCCTACAGAAAACAGTGTATCAGACAGAGGTTGAATAGAGGTTGTGCAGCAATGTCCAATATGACATAAACAAGGTGTTTTTTGAACATTAAGGCATGCAAATCTATTATAGTAGACCCGGTATGAACCAGAAAATGAGCATAATATGGCCTCTTTAACTGGATCCAGATAAAGTGATGATGGAGGATTCACTCAACAAGAGTGATTAACCATTTGAATTAAGTTGAATATTTTCTATATCTACTGCCTTCTTGCAACAGCATCTTCGGCATTTCAAAACAGTATATCTCCTTAATATTTATTTAATGAGTCGTAAAATAATTAGAGGACATTAGAACATTAGGGGGGTGTTCTTTCTTTCGTGCTATACAAACAATCTCAGAATCAATACTATGCAGCATGTCAGTATTTGTACACAGGACTGTGGAAAATGGTATGACTTTCATGGGAAGTTCTATGTTGTATAGGAGTGCTGTGACACCATGAATGAACTCTAAAGTCAAGCTTGGATCAAACAATATGTGCATTTCCAACTGACTGCTTTCCCATGACTCCCTCTGGACTCAGACACTTCCACACAGCCATCTAGAAACTTTGATCTCCAGAAGCAGTGGGGGAGGTCTGCGTTTGAACATGGCTGTGCACTTTGACTGACCTGTCCCTCTTACACCTACACACATCCATGCATGGAATTCACAACTCAGGGCTGCACTCCCCGACCCTTCTCTTGTCGACCCTTTTTTTCTAATGAGAAGAAAATGAAAGAAATAGGGCTATAAGTGAATGTTTGTGGTGAGACTGGGGATGGGTGATGAAAAGAGTGCAGGTTTGGAGGGAAACAGGCAGTGGAGGGAGAAGTGATGAGCCCATACACTGGCCCTTTATATCGTTTCTGTGAAAACAGATGTTTCCTTGTCCAGCCTGTGTGTTGGCTTGCACTACTGATTGAGCAAGTTATTTCTGTCACTGGCTGGCTGCACATAATCTCTGTGGGACAGGCTGCCAGGTCATATTGAGACATTAGCTTGATTGCAAATGTCCGAATGAGATTAAAATCACTCAGACAGGGAAGAAATAAATTAAAAGTTGCAAGACAACATGACCTTGATCTGTGAGGAAATTCTGCTAATGACAAGAGCCATGAACATGAAATCCACACACGCGCAACACCTTTCACTCACCAACCCACACTACTCTGAATCAACGTACAGGGGTGCTGGTCTTTCCAGTGAGAATGGTTCGAGCCTTGGCCTTGTTCATGTTGAAGTTCTTGAGGTAGGCCTCGTAAATCTGCCTGGCCAGTGTCTTCTGGTCGGCTAGCTGGGGGTCTTCCACTTCCCTGTCCCCCGTTACCATCTCTGCCTTCAGCTTTAGCTTCTCTGACTGGGGCATCCGGCCAAAACGGATAGCTGAAGAGAGCAGAACAGACAGAAAGTTATACTAAGATTACAGAATTTATGGCAATATAAATCTTTCAATTCACAGATTCAATTTACAGGGCAACAGAAATTACCGAAAACGAAATTCAGTTAAATAGAATTATTATAAAGCCCATTCAATAAAACACAGAGAAAAAAAATAGAAAATGCAGAGTGCTTTAAAATAAACCCAGTTTTAAACAAATGTGAAAGAGCTTGACATCCACAAAACCCCAACAATCACTTATTCTTCACGCTGACATCTGGAGGAATCATTTTAACATACTAAGTAACATGAATCCAAGACAACTTGTCAGCAAAGAAAAAAAACTTTATAAGATGTATCCAAAAAACCTATAGGGTAGTAGCAATAAAATGTTCAAAAATAACATCACTGAAAATAGAGAAAAAGCAAAGCACAGGCTATTTAATATCTTACTGTGCTCACTGTTGAAATCTGATGCCAAAGCCTTATTTCTCCCAACCTATGGATCTGACGACAGTATACTGTGGTGTTCTAAACAACAGAATCTAACATTAAAAACATCATGTCATGATCAGCAAAAGTCTAATTTTACTTTATACCTAAACATCCAAAGACCACATACCAAGTTAAAAAGATGTACCAAAAAAAATGTTTTTAAATAGTGACTTCACTCAGCAAAGATGAACTTGATCAAAGACTTGATGCCCACAACAATGTCCACCAGTGATGATACCTGGCATTTCTTAATGTCCATATGAATGAATTCATCTGGTTGTACTGCTCGTCCCCCACGTCCCTCTACGGTCAACTCAGTTACTGCTGTACTCTGAAGGGAGATAAAACACGTTTTTTTTGTGTCCAATGAAACTGAAATCACTCCTGGCAAAACAATTACCAGAAAGCTGATAATAATATAAATACTGTTAAATCACAAGTCTCCTCCCCGCCTGCATCACTGCCACTCCTCTCCGAGTCCCCAAGATTATAGCACCACCCTTCAGAACTGTTTTCCCTCCAAACCATACCAGGAAGAACAAAGAGAACCTACTGTGAGTTTAAAATGGACCTTTTCACCTTCAAAATGATTGATTTGGTTAATGTGTTACATATCGTTTGAAGTTAACAATTGGTTTTGTGTTTCTAATGCTATATTCTAGAAAGGATTCTATGTAAGAAGAAAAGAGAGATAAGGAGAAGGCCAGATTGTGGAAGCATTAATGATGTAAATTGAATGATCTAATTTATTTATTTTTTACTTAATTGTGTTTATTTGTTTGTAATTACTTTACATATTACATATAGAGACCAATGTATCTGTAACATTTCTTTAATATTCTTTTTTTATAGAAAAAAAATCATCTACCCACCGACTGAAATAAACAGTTGAAATGGATTTCTGGATCCTGTGTTTAAATGTGCACAGTGCATATGATGTTCAGTGAGCCACCACTGCAATAGCTTTTTCAAATAGTAAATAAATAATGCCATGGTTTCCCTCTCTGCCTGCACATCCACTATGAGGGGCTTAGATACACACATTTTGGCAATAAGCAAACATAATCTAACCTCTGTGCAGCACCATGCCACAACAAAAGACTGAACAAGAACTTTGTCACCCCAAAGTGTGCCACTGTTTATGAGACAAAGTTCTGATTAAATCTCAGAATATTTCAGTTTGAGCAAGTCAAATAGTGTTTTTTTCAACAGCTGCAGCAATTGTAAATCCTAATAAATGAAATTAAATCCAAAGTATGAGCCCCGCTCAGTCATAGTTGGACTGGATGGGACGACCTATGTATCCTATGTGCAGACTTTCATTGTATTATTACACACACCCACCAAAATGACAAAAATGACTGAATTTTTGGACCCGCCTAAGTTCTCTACCTCAAAGCCTCAGAGGCAAATTCTTGATGCTTTGGTAGTATTTCTGTAAATTGTCATGCCAATAAAGCACAAATGAAAGAAGACAATAGGAATGGAAGCAAAAAATTGATTTATGAATGTGTTGGAAGCTTATAGTCCACACTAGACTATAAGAGTTGTTTTTCTACGAGAGGATGCTGGCATCTCTCAGACGGCCTGATCCCATTTGACTAATGAGATTAGAGGTAAACTGCTTTTAAAGCTTGCTCACCAATTTAAATAGGAACAAGCTGATGCGCACACACACACACACACACACACACACACACACACACACACACACACACACACACACACACACACACACACACACACACACACACACACACACACACACACACACACACACACACACACACACACACACACACACACAAATCTCTGGCAACCCAACATGCAGCTGCATCTACCACCTGCATTTACAAGACTATAAAAGCATAAAAGGGGATGTGATTTCCCTGTTTTCCAACGAGCCACCCACTGTGGAAACTAATCCAGGCCAACGGAGGTACTGAACTAACAGACAACACAAGGGCCCGTTAGATTTCCGCTCACAAAGTGGATGGATCATCTGAAGCTGGTAAAGCTCCACAGTGGGCGTCTGGGCAGGAGCCAAGTCTAATTAAGATGAGAGTAAGTGAGTGATGTTAAGCTGATCATAAGTCAATTTCTTAAGAACCCGTGTGAGGGGATGAGTCTGTGGCTCGAGTGGGAAAGGGTGCTAAAGGTGGGAGGGGGACAGTCTGTCGTTCCATTAAATCATTTATAACAGCTGATTTGTGGAATTGTTTAGCCATTAAACACCTCTTTCACCACACAAAGACTTACTATTGCTCTGGATTGGTTATTTTCTCTGCCAAAACATTCAATGATGTGTTTATTACAGTGCATTTTCTTGGTACATGAGAGCTGAGGTATCTTTAAGTTGCTGGATTCAAGAAACTTGTGGGTTCTGTGATGAAAGCACTTTGCTGCTGTTGCAACAGCAAGAAAGGGATGTTGACAGTTTACTCCAGAAAAGAAGTCAAGACCAAACAACAACGCAAACACAGTTCACTGCTTTATTGTAAACCATACAACTTTAATGGGTAAATTTCACATATTTAAAACAAAAGCTCCTCTGCTGATGTGTGCATGTTGATAGCCTACATTTCAATTGAAAAAAGTTAAAACTGCTAAAACTTTTTAATGAGGAACGCCCAGTATCTTGAGCCCTTAACTGTGAAATCAATTGGCAGTCGATACAAACATAGGGACAAAGCTCTAAAATTAACAGTGCTGTGGTCCTGTAGTCTCTTAGACCATCAGACCTCAAATGATCAGGTTGCACTGGTCTCAAATCTCCTTCCTCCCCCTCTACGGTTACATTTAGGCCAATGAAACTCAATACACATATACCATAAGAGGAAGTGCAGCTGACAGAAATACTACTACTGCTCAGCTTTAGGGCACTACTGCATCATCATTAAAATCTGGGCTATGGATTCAGGAAGCCTCATCAATAACCCTGTGAGACAAAATGAAGATGCTCAGTTCAGCCTCTGCATCCACAAGTTCACTGCAGCCAGTATGGAATATCTGCAAAGTGTGCACAGTCTATATGTGAACTCACTGATTGCCCTGACCTTTTTGATCCTTCTACTAAAAATACACCGACAGGCGAGAAAAAACAAGCCCCAGCACACCCACACGAACACCTATACACACACACATCCTCTCTAAAATATGTTTCAGGGATTTTTTTTTTCCCCAATCAGGACATTGAACTTTGTCAAGGGTCAGCATGCCATGTCATATGTTTACACAGAGTAAACAATATTAACCAGAACCTCACACTTTAACCTCATGCTTAACCTCTATATCTCTGTATTCCTTTGTAAAGATAAGCAAGTACAGAGGTAAAAATCTGATCCAAGGCTTTTAAAAAAGACAATATTGTGTATAGAGTGTTCACAGATGTTGCATGTGCAGATGTTTTCTCTGTGACAGTCAAGACTGAGAAACCCAAATTTGTGATTTAGCATCAGACTGCGAAAGCATGCACTGGATTAATAATCACAAAATATTAGTAGCACTTTTCTTCGTACTTTGACTTTGCACTCAGTGTGAGAGGGCCTCTTAAGAGAAAAAAAAAATCAACATCTAAAAATGAATTCTTAATGGTTTTACAAAATGAGGTAATGTTATGGGAATAAAGTTGCAATTTCCGACATCTTATAAATAAATCTACAACTTATTTTATATTATATTCTTCTCACAGAATCACAACTTTTCTGAAAATATACATATAAAAAAATCTATTTTTTTTTTTTTTTTTTTATTTTTTTTCACAAATAAACACAATGTACACTGTAAAGTAGAACTTTTTGTAGGCTTTCTTTGAGCCACATAATAAATACAAATTCAATGTAATTAATTAGCAACATTTTGGATTAATTTTTAGATTGGTCTGTGGAGCAAAGCAGACTGTTAGTGTGCTCTATATGTTTTTGCTGGTTGGAAATCACATAATCAGGTGGATAGACTTGCTTGGTCATGTGATTTCCCTTCTTGTTCACATATCTGCTCCAAAAGGGTTCAGCTATTGCAAAGTCTGCGGCATGCACAGACACAGACTGACCATGTATTGTTCATGAATGAGTCCAAATGTTTTAAGTACATTTTGAAGAAGCTGTCAAATAGCCAGGATTAGTCTTCAGTTAGTGACTTGCCTTAACATGCAACTTAACACCCAGCTGTGGTGTTAGATTACTTCTTTGTGCTAATTATGTGTGTATGCACCTCTTCAATCTTTCTTGGGATCTGTTCAAACTGTGGTACTCTGTTAAGTAGCGTGCACTTGCAAGTAACAAGAACCATGCGTGTGTGTGCATGTGTTGTGTACATTTGAAGCACTGCCCAGATCTGCCCCACCCGGTAGGACTCACCGTTGTGGGACATGCCCACCGACAGGCACTTCTGGAAGCGGCAGTATTGGCACTTGTTGCGGTTCTTCTTTTGGATCTTGCAGCGGCGCTCACATTTGTCATACTCCAGCTTCAGACGAATGGTTCGACGAAAAAAACCCTGGAGGAATGAGGGGAAAAACATGGTAGAAAACAATTTTTTACAATGTGATTAATGCTCATATTTTGACATTTAATTTAATTTGAATGAATGAAACATGAACACCACAGATCAATTAGTCAGTCAATAAAAGAAACATTCCTAGAAGAAATACACAAGCTAATGAAACCTGAACTAAACTAGTACATTACTTTTTAATAATGTCTGCTGTTATAAAAAACAGTTACAGGATCCAGAAAAAAAAACGATTGACCAATTCCTTATGAAGTAAGTAGCCATTAGAAAAGCAGTTATTTATTCTTGGATGAATGGTGCCTGACAATATTAGATACATAGTTTCACCATCAGCTTCTCCTCGCTTACACAACCTTGACAAAAATAAATATGATGGACCAAGTGGCATGCTGGCCGAAGGGTAGAAAATGTCCTGGGGAATTGCTTAATAACATATTCAGCCATTCTTAATAGCAAATTGCAATTTCATCCAAAACTGTCACCCAGTGTGCCAAAATACATATACAGACCAATGTAGTATAGTTGTACAATACAAGATGACACAGACATGCCATGTTGTTAAGTAACTCTGACTTTCACACACTAACCTCCAATGTCATGTGCCGAACACACACACACCCTCACCCTACACACGTAAAACAAGGGTGATATATGGCTCAGACAGTATTGGAGTTCAGTGGGCTTCATGTCGATGCCGCTTGTGTCCACTGTCGTAAAGGATCAGTGACATCACAGAGGTCAGCCTCCTCCAATTACTGTCACAGGCAGAGTGGGGGGTGTACACATATGCACGTGAGATGGTGAGTATGTGCGTGAGTGTGTGTATGTATGTGCATTCTAAACAAGAATATTTGCTGACAAGAAAAATGCTGAATTTAGCTGACCCAGCTAATGTTGCAGGAAGGGGTCTCACCACGACCCTTCAGCACTTCATAGGTCCCTTCTGATGTATGCACTTTCAGTGACCCCCTCCTAAATGTAGACGTTAAGCTAAACAAACCTTGCTTTTTGTGATAACCTGTTGTTTTACTAATCTTTACAGCCCTACAACTTCACCCTACATAGGTCACATAACTTTGACTCTGCCCTGCAGACCAATCAAGGCTTTTGTCCATCCAGCATACACTACTGCATGCACACAGACTCATACTTCAGTGAGCTGCTGTTCCGATGTGAATGTTTATGTAACAGAATGTTGACATGATGGAGTTACTGAGTTTATGTATCACTTCCTGACATTTATACTCCCACTGCTATCCCACTGGATTGACAGTGTGGAGGTGTAGAAAAGTATCTCGCTTCAGTAGCTGCTTTCCCTTCAAAGAAAGAAAATATACAAAAGAATATTGAATACTGAAGGCTGAAAAACACATGCACACACACCTCAAGTTACACTATCTTTGTCCTTCGGTGCCTTTTAAAAAACAGCCTTGGGTTGTTCTTCAACAGGATTGGTAAACAATTAACAGAAAGATTATTGAGCAACCACGTGTGAAGGCTGAGACTGTTATTTCTGATGCTTTTAGGAGTTATCATTAGTCATAAGACACACTGCCTCTGGGTCTCTGGCCTGGCGTGTCCTACTTTCTTCAGTGTTACACTTTTAAATGTGATTTACTGTCTTAAATAATAATAATAATAATAATAATAATAATGGTTAATGTGTAGTCTGACGGCTGTTTGCGATTCTATGACTCATCTGCGCTTGAGTTTGGGATACTTTGGGAGGAGACGATTTATGGCTATTGACAGAAATATTGACCAAGGGAGAGAAAGTGGTACTAAGTAAAACACAGTGCAGGGTGAGAAGATAAGAGAGAACAGTTAGGGCAGAGGCATGTATGATAACTTGGCCACAGATTCAATGCTCACTGCAGGGCTTGTTGTTTGTGTGTGTGTGTGTGTGTGTGTGTGTGTGTGTGTGTGTGTGTGTGTGTGTGTGTGTGTGTGTGTGTGTGTGTGTTTTCTTCCTGCTTGTCTTTATCTCCCCCTCCCCATTTTCTCTCGGGGTGCTAGACCACCTGTGCAGTGTTGTCTTGCTGCTCATTGGTTCCCTCACACTTCAAGCTGGCCATCTTGTCATCATTTGGAGCACTCAATAAAAGAAACACACCCGAAGAGTTCAGGCTTTCATTTTTGATCCGCTGTTGTTGTTGCTGCTGTTGAGTCTGCAAACTTGTTAAAAATATAGAAAAAGGTATGTGGTGGGAGGTTGAGGACCAAGGTAGGCTGGAGTACACATTTTTCACTGTTTGGGTTTTTGTTTTCAGCGGTAGGGATTAGTCAAGCCTTGTTATCTTATCTTGTTTTACTACTTGTCTGGCACAACCACCTCCCCCTCATAAAAACCTTTGTATGTTTGCCAGTATCAATAAGCAAATACACTTTTTGTTGTAACTTCTACTTTGACTCCTGGAAATTCTTTAATTCATTTAATTTCTTTAGTCGTTGTGCTATTGTGTCTTTTCCTTGAAGAAGGGTGTAACACACTTTGGGGCTCATCCAGGACACTTTTTTCCACTCAGCTTTAAACTCAAACATTGTTGAGTTATTGTCACTGTGGCGTGGGGGGGGGTGGCGGCTGATGTCTAAAGTGCATCGGTTTTATCTTTTGTCCACTTGCCAAATGGCTAGTGACTGTTCAGATTTTACAAGCCACTAAAAAGATTACCATTGTTTTTTTTGGGCAGAGGGAAGCAAATCTACCAGCTGCTTGCATATTTTACCAGCTGGTGCTAATTCTGTGCCCTGAAATCACTTGTTTGACTGTATAATTCATGTGTGTAATCTTCGTCTCACCTTGCAGCCCTCGCAGGCGTGGACTCCGTAGTGGTAGCCCGAGGCACGGTCAGCACAAACTCGACACTCTAGGTTGAGTGACGATGAGGAAGTGGAGAACTCCTCGGGGCCCGCTGCCATCCCGTAAACAACCGACGATGGGCTGGATGCTGGCGTCAGGGCATCTACAAAACACAGGCACGAGGTTGATTATATGTGTACTATTGCCCCTGACTAATGCACACATCTTAAGGCAACATCTGCACTGATAGCCAATTAATGGTCTAGTCTATCTAGTGATATTGTGTGTTTTTGTTATTGTCAACAAAATTCACAAAAATGCCAAAATGAGCAATTAACTGATCCTACTAAGTATTTGCTGGGCAGCCAAAGTCTGATATAGCTTATCTCTCTGTGCCATAGACTTCCATTGTTGTTCAAAAACCAGAGTGCAGATTTTTGCCATTTCGGCCAAGAAATCCACAAACAAATCCCATTTCCTGCACAAGGCAGATCCAGAGGAAAAAAGCACCTGGCTTGAGAGAAACTTAGCAGCTGTTTTTGAGGAAAGCCTAATTTTTGTGCAGACTATCTCAACTAGTTCAGCCTCTCATTCGCACTGCAACTTTTATATATATATATATATATATATACACACTTTTATAGAGAAACATTCTGCAAATCTTTGTGTAATGTGCATTTCCTGTAGACTTTAGCCATCAGCATGCTTAAAGAAGTGGCTGTCAGGCGCCTGGTTAGCTCTGTTGGTAGAGCTGGAGACCCATGTACGGAGTTGCTGCAGCGGTCCGGGTTCAAATCCGACCTGCGGCCCTTTGTGCGTGTCATCCACTCTCTCTCTGCCCCCCTTTTCCTGTCTATCTTCGGCTGTCACTATAAATAAAGGCAATAAAAGGCCAAAAAAAAAACTTTAAAAAAAGAAGTGGCTGTCAGTCACATTAATTTATCTGAACAACACACTGTTAAGGCTATTGAATGTATAACCCTGTTATAAAAACTAAAATAAAAGCGGTTGTCAGAATGTCAAACAGCGCCTGAAACCCTCTCCTCTAACACATTTACAGTATCAGAACTCTGGGAGTTGACACTTTTTGTGTGAAATCGACAAAACGACAAGAATGCCCACTTCACACAGTGATTGGTCAGGTGTGTGAATGTGAGAAAGTATACAGGAGTTTGAATTTGTCTTTCAAGTTGTCTTTTTTTCATTCTTAAAGTCACTTCTTGGCTGTAACACCAAGAAGCCTTTGAGAGGAGACTGTCCAAAAGCATGCTGCCCTATCCTCATTTGTACAATTAATCAAGTCTGTCTCTATGACAACAGAGCAACTATAAAGTTGTTTGCCTTGAGATGTGATTGGATGATACTTTGTATGAACTATTTCATTCCAGACATACCCTCGCCCATTTGGCGAATCAAATTTAATAGTTCATAAAAGTACAACAATTATTGACTCTATCATACGGAGTTATACAAGCAGATTTTACCACCACAATCTGACAACAAATCAATCATTATTTTGAGTAAAAATAAAATGTGCAACTGTGTCTATTTTAATGATTGCATCCCTACTGTGAATTATTATCTCCCTCTGGCAAAGAACTACTGGAACTTAAGTACAATTTGACCCCTTTGCCCCGACAAAGACAGTCTGTTCCATCACAGCAACTATTTACTCAGAGATATTAACATGCCGTATGTGGTGTGCTGCTTGTCAAGAGCATAACAGCATTGGAGTAATATTACTGATCGTCCTCAAGGACGACAGGTCATGGGGCTTGCCATAGGTTGCCAACTGTTTTCTATTTCCACCTTGTGAAGGGATCATGGTTGGTAGAACTCGCTTGGTACACAAATAGCAAAGATGAAATGGTACATACAAAACAGTGGCACTAAGTCAAGCCACATGAGTTGGTCAAAGGACGCCAGAACGGGGATAAGCAGCATTTGGCAGCGGACCTGAAGCTGTGCTCCTGTCTGGTGCAAGTGCACATGTTTCAGCAGCATGTGGATGAAAAAAGCATGTCAGTGTTTCTTCTGCTCCTGTCTCTCATGTGCTCGCAAACACCCATAAATCCTAAACACCCTCTCACTGACTTTTCCATGACATCATTAAACGTTTCTGTGATGCCTTCTATGCATACTTCCCCCTCTTTACTCCTTTCTGTCCTTCTCCCCCACCCTCACCCTCTATTCTTCCATTAATTCTTTCTGAACTATTAACTTCTTCACTTGTTGCATAATTTGGTAGTAGCATACATTTCCCAGATGTCCATGTGACTTAAGGAGGAAACACAGCAGCAAAATGGATGTTTCCTGAGAGGTGGTGCATGGTGACTGAGGAATGTGTGAATTCCTCATTTGACATGGAGCGAGGAGAAACACTGGAGGATCACAGAGAGGTAAAACAAGGGAGTACAGAGAATAAGGGGTAAAAATAAGGAGGAAATATGGAAGAACTGGGCAGGAAAATACTTCAAGACACTCAGTAAGACACAGAACTGATTAAGATCAAGGGATTATTTTCCAAAGGGGTAAAAAAGTGGGCGAGTCAGACAATAAAGTAAAGAAAGGTCTGTCTTATACTGTAGCTTTGTGGCACGTTAAGGCAAGAGGTTAAATTAGCTGAAGTTAATATCCTTTCCGAACATTCAGTTGGAGCCAATTGGGGATTATGGGGCTAAACTGAGGGACCCCTACTCTGAAAACAACAACAACGGCAAACAGATTACACTGAGCTGCCAGGGACACGATAAAATTAGTAAACCCCACATTGCCATCTCACCATATCATTAATAATCTAAAGAGATAATTTCAATTCAGTGGTAATGAGAGTTCACCTAGAACAGTTGAACCTTCAGAGCCATTGCTGGAGGACTGGTATTCGGGGACATCAAAGGAGCTGATGGCATCGTTGTCAACGGACTGGGAGATGTCCTGGAGCTCCTCCATGCCGCCCATGAAGTCGTCATCGGCGCACAGTGGGCTGCCTAACACCGAGTCCTCCAGGGGTGAAGGGGGATGGTAGTGGCTCTCCATGTCGACCATTGCGGTGGAGGAGCGGGCTGCCGGCACTCTCACTCATCAGACTGGAAACAGAGGACAGGGGAAGAGGGGGGGAGACAAAGAGGTCAAATAGATGACAGAGGAAGATTAATTTCTAAGGTCACCTTTAGAGATTTCTAGCGACTAGGAGTCTACATTCATGCTAGCAGTTCTGTGTGGCTGTAATTAGACACATCAGTGCTTTGTGCTAAATGCTAATGTAAGCTTGCTAATATGCTGATGTTAAGCAGGTATGATGTTTACCATGTTCACCACCGTAGCATGTTAGCATTGCTAACATTTGCTAGTATTAGACTTGCAGGCATCTGGTCATAAACCAACGTTTATGGCATAGTTTAAAAGTATTGGGCAAATTAGAACTTTGAAGTGACGATGGTGCAAAATGTAAAGTCAGGGGATCACCAAACTGATTACAATTCATCCTGGGGAGGATACAAGTGTATGCAAAAATGGCAATCCATCCATTGTTAAGACCACATATTGCAACCTCACTGTAAAACAAGAGGAAGTTAAGGGGTTTCTATACAGTCATTAGGACATCATCTGGGAACTATGAATGTTTGTACCAAATTATTTACTAATCTATCAAGTACATGTTACTAGATTAGTGAGCATTTTGCTGGCGGCCCTAGAAGAAAAGTTAGGGGATCACTAAAGTTGTTAGGGCACCATGAATGTCTGTAGACAACTTTGTGGCAATCCATCCAATAGCTGTTGGTGGACCAACTTGCCAACATTGCCATCCATAACATCATGCTGCTAGCATGCCTAAAACTGATAACATCATTATCAATATCAACACCACAAAGTGACATTTAGGCCCAATGAGCAGTGCTGATGCAACATGTGGCCATCCACACCAACAGGTGCTGCACGTCGCTCTGGGTCAACGGGCAGTAAAGGAATGAAGGACATGGAGTATCTTATGACACAACACAGGCCCCTCCGCTCCTCTGAGCTATTCACCCCAAATACAGCAACCATATCCCTAACTCGAAGTGCTGCAGAAAGAGAAAGACAGAGGACAGAGAGACAGAGTGAGGCATAGAGACGTTTGGAGAGATGAATGTAGGTCACTGGGCTGGCTTAGGCTGTGCTGTAACAGGAAGGCTAGGTCTGGGGTTGGCTAGAAGAGACATGACAGACTGGCTTGTGCAGTAGATGGGTGAGAATTTGCTGAATTGCATGTGGGAGGAGCTATGAGATACACATAGAAGTGCACTAAGAAGTAGGCTTGTCTTGGTGGCTAAGCTTAAGACTGGCAGTGGGAATGGACCTCATATTGCACATTAGGACTTCATACATCCGTATCTAAACTAGGTCAATCTTCAGTAAGCCCTTTCCATCGGGCCCTGCTAAGAACATTACACGGGGGAGGTGGGCGATGGGCGATGGGGGTGAGGGTGGCTATGTGGCTACAAGACAGCAGCTGCTGGTTGTTCTCAGCCATTCCACACCATTACACATTACCGCCTTAAGTTTAACCTTAAAAAAGGTTCAGTGTGTAACATTTAGGAGGCAAAAATATGATATAATATGCATAACTATGTTCTCATTAGTGTATAATCACTTGAACAGAGGAATCGTTACGTTTTTGTTATCTTAGAATGATCCTTTTATCTATAGATGGTACGGGTCGCCTTCCATGGAGGCCGCCATGTTTCTACAGTAGCCCAGGAAGGACAAACAAACACTGGCTCTAGATAGGGGCATTTGCATTTTTCGTGTGTTTGTGACCACCATAGTTTCTCCTGCGCTTTTGGAGGGGGAGTGTGAAGCGAGGGAGTAGTGATCTGCAGCTACACTGCTATATGACACAAAATCCTACACACTGGACCTTTAAATTGACTAGTAGTGTGTAATGTACTGTAGGCTGCTGAGAAGGGAAAATGAGTGCATGCTGAAACTGTTTGCTCTCAGTGCTCCCTGTGAGTCTATTTAAAAGATCTAATGAGAGAAATGAATGGTATTCCATTGATGCAGCCTCTGATACCATTAGTCATTTGAATAGTTTCGCCTCAAGTGCAGAAGGAAAATACAATAGATTAAGTGAACGTGAAATGAGTTATGTGACTGTTAATAATAAAAATAATAATCTCTGTCGGTCACAATTTAACCCTTCAAGTAGGAGGGAAAAAATGGATGAACCTTGAGAAGGTCCCTATGGCTTGCAGGGTCGGTGGGCGACTAGCGGGAAGCATGACCAAAAGCAGACCAGTGACATGACTGAAACAAAGAAAAATACGTCATAACAACAACAGCTATACAACAAGACCTGGCTCAAAGTCCAGCCACATGGTATAGCATGGATGGATGAGCCATTTTTTAAAATCACAGAGCACATTGTCTTACACAATCTGAATTGTTGTGACGCAAAATGCTGTCTAAGTTTACATCAATCACTCTTGTTTGTTTCTCAGTTTGGAGCTACCTTGAAAGCTCATGGCACGAAAACAAAAAAGTCAGCTCCTGCACTGAAAGCAAATGTCTCAGCACACTTACGCTTTTGCAGATATATTAATGAGGGAGCTTTATGGTAATTTGGTATGCACGATGTGACACATGGTGGTGTATTTTGTAAATATGACATCCTGATGTCTACTGAAAACATTATGATAATGTAATGGTACAAGCATGGATATGAATCCAAACGTTTTAGAGCTGGAGCCATTCGTAAAGACAGCACATATGATTCACATTGCATGAAATTTCTAGACATGAAGTATCAGCGGGTAGAGAAATCACAACAAACTAAATTTTATCATCAAGAATCACAGCCCTGAGGACCTAAACTGAATTGTATAGTATAGATTCCCAGTCATTGAGAAGACTACTCTCCACGAAAAGAAACTTGGCATGCGAGTGAGCCGCTTTAGTGAGATACTCACTCTACATTACACTTGTAATTCTGAATGGAGGCAGTGTTAGCTCGGCTACGCAAGCAAACCTCTTTAGCATTCAGCCTCTAGCTCCTGACCCTCAGGTCTTCCTTTAGAGGACATCCTGTTTCATACACTCACTTCACTCAGCACTGTCTCATTATTATACTGCTTCAAGGGGAAAAATAAAGAAGAATCTTGGCTACAGCTTGATTAACATCCATGCTGTCAGTTCACATAACACTCCATTTACTGGGGCAAGTTATTATCTAGTCTTGTAAGAAGATACAAATTCGGGCAAGCAGAGTATTACATTTTATTTTTTCTGAGATCAGTTAAGTTTACACACAGTCACGGCCCACATATACAGTGTGTCAATCCGTCCGTATGTATGTATATATGTGTCAACACACATCCATTGCATGCATGACTTTATATTTAAATAACACATATGACACAAGTCCTTTTCTGAACTTATGACCCCCTACCACCATCTATGAAGTGGTGGATCAAGCAAACCTTGTGTTGCCACCAACATAACACGAGAATGTAAACACACAGAGCCGCTTAAGCTGCAGACTGCAGAGGTCTTGTGGATTGAGACCGACAAAGACAGAGAGAGACACAGGGGGCTGAGGGGAATGTCACTACGGCTACATTACAGGGTCTTTATCAGCAGTGTGTGGGACAGAGTGAGCAAGTGAGGCAGTGAGAGAAAGAAAACAGGTTTCTACGGTAACAGCAAGTCTTTGTCCTTTAAGGTCAAGACCTCTCTTGTGCTCACTCAACCAAGCCCACTGAGGGCACTGCGCACACTGAGAGGAAGATGAGCAAGGTCATACGTGTTTGTGTGGGTTAGGGTCCAAAAGGGGAGGAGGGCGGGTTACACTAACAAAAGACCACTAACTGAGAGCCACCGAGGTCGCCATGACGATGCCATGGCAATGCCGACACACGGATCACGCTTTGAAATCAGCAACGGAGGGCGGGCAGCAGGCATGTGAAGGCAGTTACAAGCTACTACCACTGGGATTCAATCTCACTCAAATCAATAAATCCCATCACAGACTTGTAGGTTAGCAAGTCTGTACCAGTAATCACTCAGCCGGATGTATGCGTGGAGCATAAATAATCCATACAGTCTGATGGATTTCTGCACAGCATGTTCACCCAGCCCCCCATGTTACGCTCATCCATCGCAGTCAAGTTCCACATTAGTTGGAAAGGACACGAGGGATGCTGGTAAGCTCTGGCTGTGGCAGATAAACATGCTCTGAACGTGACCCAGGCGTGTAGACGGCCTCCTACTCTCCCAACAGGAAAGGACATAGAACAGCATGAAGTCAGTTTACACAGCAGTCTGAAATCTTCAAGAAAATGATCTACAAATCACCTGCACTGTTGAGCTGATGGCCTCAGTAGTGATATCAATCATTCAAGAAGTACTGCACTTAAAGGAGATCATCATGTTCGAGTGATCCTGTGGCATCTCTACATCCACACAAGCCTCAGCTGATAACTGAAAAGTATTGCATCACACAGCTTCTATGATTCACTATTGTCTCTGGGGCATCCAATAAAGCCTCATGATTTTTTACATCCATCAACGAGGGCAACAAAGATTGTGATGACAAGGAAACCCAGATAAAAAATGGCTACAGATCAAGATATTAGAGGTGTGTAAGGGCTTGTCTCTCCAAGGAGTGGAAAAAACACAGCGGACCTTCCAAGTACAGGGGAACATACCTTAGCACTGAGAAGAGATAAAAGAAGATTTGCTGTACTATTTTTCTGTTGTTAGAATAAAAACAGTATTGTTCCTATAAAATATTTTTCTTTGAAGACAGTTAGTAGAGTTTATAGAATGTCAAAACTCAGTAATAATTTACACTATTGTCCTACCTTCCACGTCCAAAAAGTTTTCCATCCAACTTTGGTCCCTGACAGCATGACACCCAGCTCTTTCCAAGAGCTTGTATGATCATTTGGTGTGTGTGTGTGTGTGTGTGTGTGTGTGTGTGTGTGTGTGTGTGTGTGTGTGAGAGAGTGGACCATAGGTTAATGTTTAATCCACCCATCCTGTGGTCTGAGCGCTGACAGACCTGTTAGAAGAAGGCCCCAGGGGTGGTATTAGAGCAGGAATA